GAGCTATTCCCAACTTTCCTTTTTGTCAAGAAAGAACTTGTTTTGAAGTCTCTTCACTGGCTGCCTATTAGTTTCTGGGCCCAGTACAAAGTGTTGGTTATTACCTATAAAGCCCTAAATGGCTTAGGCCCAACCTACCTTCGAGACCGCCTCCTCCCATACAATCCACCTCATGCTCTTCAGTCCCCTGGGAAGAATTTATTACAGGTGGAAAAATCTAGACTTATCAGCTACTTCCCAGAGGGCCTTCTTGATGACCACTCCCAGACTATGGAATAGCCTGCCAGACAAGGTCCATCATTTGTCAACTTTAGACAGGTTCAAAAGAGCTGCCAAGATGGATCTCTTCTGGCAGGCTTTTCCTGATTAGTCTTCCAGGTCACATAACTTGTCCTTATGTTTCCTTTTTCCCCAATCTCAGCCGCTGTTGTATTTATTCACTGCTGCTGTAATTACTGTAATTATTGTAATTTGTAATTTGTGGGCATTTGCCTTATTTTAAACTGTTTTAAATTTGACGTTGTTTAACAATTTTTAAGGGGTGGGAGGGTTGGGGTCTGGGGTTGATCTTATTGTATTGTATTTTTATGTTGGAAGCCACCCTGATTGCTACGCAGAGGGGAGGGGTTATTATTATTATTATTATTGACAAAATAGAGAATTCAGATTTTTATTTTTTATTTTTGGAGGCTCCATCTCAGGAAATTCACATTAGTTAGCTATCAAAGCCCCATGTACAGTAGCACTGGTCAATGTGTAATGGTGTAATTGACAGGCAGCAATTCATTTTACAATAAGATAAAGATAAAAGGTAAAGGTAAGTAAATAAGACTCAAGAAGAAAACAAAATCAGTGATTATACTAAAATATGATATAAATAATATCTCAACAGAATTTAGACATAAGAACATAAGAAACAGATTTGCATTACTAAGCATAATAGATTGAGAACCAGAGGAACTATGGTCTGAAGCCAGGGACATAATAAAAGAAGAATGCATATAGACACTTTCAATAAACAAAAAGAAAGAGGAAAAACCATGGGTGACTGAAAAAATACTACAAGCAATAAAAGGAAGAAGAGAAGAAAAAAGGGAGATAGGAACAATCTAAGAATTCTGAATGCAACAGTACAATGGCTTTTGTGGAAAGATAAAGAAAATTACTACAATAATCAATGCAGAGAAATCGAAGACAACAACAAAAATGGAAGAACAAGAGATCTATTTCACAAGATCCATAAAATCAAAGGAATATTCAAACCAAGGACTGGGACATACTATGACAATAAAAATAACAAGAGTTCAAGACCAAGAAGGAATGCAATACACACAAGAATTATACAAAGGAGATGACAAAATGAAGGACATATGGGATGAAGATGAACACTAAATTCTAAAAATTGAGTTGGAAACTGCAATAAGAGAAATAGCGAAAAACAAATCACCAGGAATAGATGACATTCCAATTGAACTGCTGCAGTCCACACTGACAGAGGCAACTCTGGTGCTAACCAACTATGTCAACAGATATGGAAAACAAAACAGACTGGAAGCGATCAATATACATTCCCATCCACAAAAAGGGAGATACAAGAGACTGCAGCAACAATAGAACCATAGCACTGATCTCTCATGCAAGCAAAATTATGCTCAAAATAATGCAACATAGACTCCAACCACACAGCAAGAGAGAAATCCCAGAGGCCCAAGAAAGGAAGAGGCATGAGGGACCACATTGCAAACATACGGTGGCTAATGGAGTGCAACAGGGAATTCCAAAAGAAAATCAATATGCGCTTTATAGACTATAGCAAAGCCTTTGACTGCATAGATGATGAAAGGCTATGGAATACCCTTAAAGACATGGGAGTGCCAACACATCTGATAGTCCTGATGAGGAATCTGTACTCAGGACAAGAAGCTATTGTCAGAACAGAACACAGAGAAACAGAATGGTTCCTAATTGGCAAAGGAGTCTGACAAGGCTGCATTGTATCACCCTATCTGTTCAACTTGTATGCAGAACATATTATAAGAAAAGCAGGTTTGGAGACAGAAGAAGGAAGAGTGAAAATAGGAGGAAGGAAGATCAACAATCTATGCAGATGACACCATAGTACTGTCAGAAAATCTTAATAGACCAGGAACACCTACTAAGGAAGATCAAAGAAGAAAGTGCAAAAGCAGGCTTAATGTTGAATATAAAGAAAACAAAAATAATGACCACTGAGGACCTTCACAAGTTCAACCTAGACAATGAAGCAATACAAATAGTAAAAGAATTCCCATACCTGGGATCAAACTTTGATAGAAATGGGGACTGCAGTCAGGAAATCAGAAGATTAAGAATGGTGAGTGTGACTATGAAAAAACTAGAAAAGATTCTAAAATGCAAAGATATACAACTCAGCACAAAAGTTGAAATCATACAAGCCATTGTATTCCCTATTATGTATGGATATGAGAGCTAAACAGTTAAGAAAGATGTTAGGAGGAATATAAATTCATTTGAGATGTGGTCCTGGAAAAGAATACTGAGGATCCCATGGACAGCCAAAAGGACAAACAAGTGGGTCCTACAGCAAATCAAACCAGAAACCTCCCTGGAAGCCAAGATGACCAAACTGAGACTGTTGTACTTTGGACACATCATGAGAAGGAAGGACTCTTTGGAAAAAAGAAACAATAATGCTGGGGAAGGTGGAGGGAAGTAGGAAGAGAGGAAGGCCATATGCTAGATGGATGTATTCTATTAAGTGTTGGGATAATGGATTTGAAGAGACTTTATATAAATACCCAAAAGGTAACAAACAACATATATAACAGAATCATACAAAACCCATATATATAAGACAAAGCATAATAATAATGGCAAAAGTAACAAATAGCAAATAACATAATCAAGTAACACAAGTATAAAGCAACATAAAGTAAGGCTAAGAATAGAGTGAGCAAAAGAGAGAGAGAGAGAGAGCTCACTATAGAGGCAGCCTTATTAAGGCTCAAAACTTGATTAGAGCTATACATATACAGCTGTAGGTCATCTGTGTTCTCAGTAGCTCTCCATTAACCCTGTGATGGTTGTTAACCCTATAATGGCTCAAGTGTAGAGCTTGTTACTATTCCAACATTAAGGAAGTCACAGGTATTAAGGGGTTGCAGGAATTAAGCAGAGCAGTGGAAGACAGATAGTCTTGGAGATGTCTCATCCATAGAGCTGTCATGAGTCGAGATCGACCTGAGGGCAGTTAACAACAACAAAAGGTAAAGGTATTCCCCATTGACAAAGTTGTCAAGTCTTGTCCAATCTTAGGGGGCAGTGCTCATATCCATTACTAAACTGAAGAATCAGCGTTGTCAGAGACTACTCTGTGATTTTATAATAAGATACTACTTACCAAATAAAAGAGGACATTTCTTGCAGTCAGTGCCCACAGGATTTTGTAGTATTGTAAATCCCATGTAGAGCTGAAATCATGCTAGCAATTCTGTCTCTTTTGTGTCAGTCCCAATGTACACTGATTCTTCTTTTTCTCTCTAAAGTGGCATTAGGTTCTTTATTCAGAGTGACATAGAAATATAAATAACTTTGAAGTGTCCTTTGGGAAAAGGCTAGGGCCAGATGAGAGTGATTTTAAACACCTTGCACTTATCATATCTGCAAAAGTAACACAAAGCATGTCTGTGTCAAATATGAAATATGCTTGCAGTCTACTTCACCATCTTGGCTTCTGCGAAGATTGTGATTTCACCAAAACACTGAAAATTCAACCAAACTCACTGAGACCTAGGTTTAGAGACCTAGGTTTTGGTGATGGCTTCTCAAAGCTGTAGTCCAAAAAAGAATTCTTGCAAACTCAAAAGAGATTAAACCAAGCATAATCATTAATGAATGGGTAATCATTACTTTTCTCTTTCCTATATCAGTTTGTAAGAAGGATATAAATATTCATTCCTTTTGTTCCCACATGCAAGAATGAAAAAAAAAAAGTTTCCTCCCCACTGAATCAGATTGTGAAAATGTTTGGACATTTGGTTAACTGCTTACATTTGGGGGCCTTTTGGTGAATATTTCATTAAAGTTTGTTTTTGAATAAAACACTTTTTTACACAAAAACTTTTTGGTATTGCTCCTGCTGATGGTGACAGTATTGATCAGGGGTCCCCACACTTTTTCTGCCAGGGGCCGGTTTGCTGGCCCCCTAGATCATCGGAAGGACAATGAAAAAAAAATGACGCCCAGAGGTGTGCGCGCGTGCATGGACGTGCAACGGCGGGTGCCATTTTGTGTTCCAAAATGGTGTCCAGAGTCGTGTGCATCCACCCAGTGTCGCGTGAACATGCGCACTACTCCGGGTGCCATTTTGGAACACAAAACGGCGCCCCACATCACACGCACATGCGCACAACTGGAGTCATGTGCATGCGCGTGTGATGCCGGGCGCCATTTTGGAACACAAAATGGCACCCCACATAGTGCGTGTGCCGTGGCGGCAGGACCAACCACAGGCCGGTCAGCCCATGGGCCATAGTTTGGGGACCCCTGGTATTGGTCTTCACTCCCTTGCACAGAGTCAAAACATTTCATATGGTTGATGCCAGCAAATTAAGATGTAACATCCCTAATTTCTACTAGATCACTATATATACTAGCCACTATTGAGAATGTCAGAGGCTGAAAATGTTAAACAAGAACTGTATTTTTAATATGTTGAATATGTTTTTTTAAAAATGAATGTGGTGTTCAATCCAAATGATCTAAATGCTTGAGAATTTGTAGCCAGCAGAAAATAAGGAAATGTGTCATCTATTACTGATATTTTTGTTGTTGTTCTTGTTCTTGTTGTATGTCTTCACATCATTTCATACTTATGCTGACCCTAAGTTAGAAACTATTACAGGGTTTTCTAGGCAAGAATTGTTCAAATGAGATTTGCCTTTGCCTTCCTTTGAACTTAAGAGAGTGTGACTTGCCCATGGTCACCCAGTGTGTTTCCATGGCTGAGAGGGGATTTGAACCCTAGTCTCCAGAGTCATAGTCCAACACTCAAACCACTGCACCACACTGCCTCTGAGATACTAATGAAGTTAAAATGCAACTGGTTTGAGCCTTTAATAATCAACATTATTTCCATTCGCATTTGTTTATGTTGGGCAAAACAGCACCAGAGAAACATATTCTTCTCCTCCAGACACTGAAAGGTCAAAAGTCCATAGTACAAAGTGGGTGATGCAGCCCCTTAACAAGAGACCTGCATTACAGAGATAGCAAAAGAAATCCCATGCGTGGCTGCTGCTGTTCCATTATAAGTAAAGAACTATTTTTACTGAACAGCCAAGAAGATAATCACAGGCTTTATGTAAATACCATCTCCACAGACATGTGACTGCTGCAGCAAATTTCAATTTTCCCTCTTCTTTGATGTTTAATTTTTTTCATGACTGTGCCATTCCAACAGTCCCAGTCTCATCTCAGTGCTATTATTTGAGCATGAGAAGCTGTATGTGTATGAATTTAGTTCAATGTGTGTATGCGTGTCTGCCTGTGTGCATGTGCACATACACATAGCAGCAATCAAATATCTAAAGTACCAGAGCAGTGGGATGAACTGCTGATGGCACTAAGGTGTCAAATCCAGCTTAGATTTTACCACTCCTCCTCCTGCAGATGCACTAAGTGTTCTTTCACACTACACAATTATAGCACTACGATTCCACTTTAATGGCCATGGCAGCACCCCATAGAATCCTTAGGTTTATAGTTTGCTGATGAGCTATCTGGCTGAGAGTTATAAATACCTCACCCTCAATTGCACATCCCAGGATCCCTCTGAATGGAGCCATGGCAGTTGAAGTGGAATCATAGTGCTATAACATAGTATAGTGCCAATGGCAGTGCTGATATGTAGGGTGCATCTGCACTGTAGGAATAATGCAGTTTGACATTACTTTAACTTCCATGGCATCACTCTACAAAATCTTGGGATTTGTAGTGTTGTGAGACACCAGCATTTTTTGGCAGAGGTGGCTAAAGACCTTGTAAAACTACAAATCCCAGGATTCCACAGGATGGAGCTACAGCACACCTTAAATGTGTTGATTTTTTATATCTGCTTCCTTCACTTTCCATGTCTCACCTCTCTGACACATCTGTACATGGTGATGGGTAATACTATGGCTTGGACAATTCTGACTTTAGTGCTCAGTTGTAGACTTGGAGTGTGGTGGAGTCTCCTTCTTTGGAGGTCTTTAAACAGAGGCTGGATAGCCATCTATCAGGTATGCTTTGATTTTGAGTTCCTGCATGGCAGGGAGTTGGACTGGATGGCCCTTGTGGTCTCTACCAGCTCTATGATTCTATGATCTTTACTCTTTAGGAGCTTATCTATTTCTTTCATAGCTGCCCTTCCCATTCTGGGTCTTCTTATTTCTTAACTGCAGTCACCATTTTGATTGATGTTTGATCCTAGGTATGGGAACTCTATTTCAATTTTTTCACTGTCTAGGCTGAATTTATGTATTTCTTCTATAGTCATTATTTTTGTTTTCTCTATATTCAGCATTATACCTGCCTTTGCACTTTCATCTTTTACCTTCTTTAGCAATTGTTCCAAGTCTGTGATGCTTTCTGCTAGTAATATGATATCATCTGCATAGCTTAGATTGTTGACATTCCTTCCTCCTACCTTCACTCCTCCTTCTGAGTCTAAACCTGCTGTTCTTATGATGTTTTCTGCATATAGGTTGAACATATAGGGTGATAAAATGCAGTCTTGCCTTACCTCTTTGCCAATTGGGAACCATTCTGTTTCTCTGCATTCTGTTCTTACTGTAGCCTCTGTCCTTAGTACAGATTTCTCATCAGGACTGTCAGATGTAAAGGCACACCCACAAACTTTAGAACACATGGCCACTCCATCAATGTTTAATAAGGGCAGGGCTGGTTCTACATCTGGAATGCAACAGGTAGAAAATACTACCATGAAAACTCTTCCTCATGCTCCTTTGCAATGCCAGGTCGGTCAGGAATAAGACTCATATCAT